CTACTTTGTGTTGGATGCTGCTGTGAGAAACTTTTGTATCCCGTAACACATATATCATGCAAAATCATTAAAATGCCTTTCAGAAAAAGAGACCATCTGTATCATAAAGATCAAGAGCCAAAAAATGTCGTCTGAAAATAATTTTATCATTGAAACGTTTATTCAGGTCAAATCAGTAATGACACAAGCGCATGCAACTTTTACCTATAAATTTAACAAAGATGTCCACTAATTAGCAAAACAAAGCCACATTTTTAGTCATTAAAACGTGACTCTTATGAAAGAAACAAACTAATCAATGTTATTCATTATTTGCTATGTTTTGTTCCAACAATAAGCTACTCGTTGAAACAGTACATTCTAGAAGGAGTAAGAAATTTACACAATGGGAAGAACATTAACATAGCCGCACTCTACTACCTGAACTAGGATCCTTATCAGAAAAATGCAAAGTACATGATATCAAAAGACTGAAATATACTCGTCAGTTGTACGATCAGCATTTTCTAAATTTTGGACCCTATGGTAAGTTTTAACGTCACAATGGACGCAGTTCTTGAACTCTTCAACTAATATGAGTTGTCTGAGATAATCTTGACCAACTTTCTTTTCTAAGCACTATCTATTGAATAATTGCACATTTGTCTTGCAAATTCGACATGGGTTTTTGTACACTTTCTTTTTTTAAACGTTCCTAAAATATTTTAATAATCCTCATGTACCAACTCTTAACCCTTCTTCCTTTCTCTTTCTATTTGTATTTGCATAAGCCTACCTTCTCTTTTTTCTCTTCTGCAGTTGCAATTATCTTTCTCTTTCATCTTTTTCTATTTGCACTAGCTTCTCTCTTTTCTCTTTTTCTAACTGCATTTACTTCTCTTCTTTCTCTTGCTGATGCTAAAGCCTTATTAACTCCCTTTTCTCTTTCTTTTTTTTCTCTTCTACAGTTGCAATTATTTTTCTCTCATCTTTTTCTATTTGCATTAGCTTCACTCCTTGCTCTTTTTATAACTGCTTTTTTCCCCTACTGATGCTAAAGCTTTATTAACTCCCTTTAATTCTTGCATTTAATTTTCAATTCCATAAATTAAAAATTAGAGCCAGATGGAGATTTACTAATCAAACCCATACATCCAAATATTATATGTTGCCAAATACTGGACAAAATATATTTTAGGTCTTGCTTTGTTACGAGGACTTTTCCTCAGAACGATCATGTTGTCTGGTAGGCTTGAACAATTCATCCTTTTGAAGGACACTAATCGTTCCTTCGGAGGATTTAAAATAACATTCTCCACTTCAGATGATAGTGTGAAAGTTTGTTATTTTCATTAAACATATATGTGAAATATTATCCGAGACATAGAACATTCCAATCCAAAGTGAATTTAAATTTGAAAAACAAAATTTTCTAAAATACTTGGTAAAATTCAACAAAGCAATGTTTTACTTAAAATATAAATTGAAAATATTAAAAAAAATAATCCCAAATAATCCTGCAATTAATAACATAAAGTATTAATGAATATAGTTCTGAATAAATTTTATTGATCTTCCAAAATAAAATACAGCGCTAAAAGTGTCGATGTGCCTATTATGGCTCGAATAGTAATGATGTGCTAACAGTCTTTTGTTAAATGTCAATAATCATATCCATGACTATAACTTCATTTGAATTTCACTATAAATTTAAATTTCTATTCCCAATAATAGTGTTAAAATGATGAACATTTTTCATTTCCAGTGAAAACAATAATTAGAATAAATAAATTCCAGCTAAGATGTAAAACTGAATACAATAATAGAACTGATTTCTGAATTTTGTTAAAATAATATTACCCAATAGAAAATTTCATATAAAAGGTCCGAAATGTTTACAAGATAAAATTTGTCATAAATAGAAGGTTTGTTGCTAAAATTATAATAACGAACATGGAAAACATAATGTCCTGGACTCAGACAAAGATAATCTTAATATGATGTAGTCAAACCATCGGAATAATCTTAATATGTATTCTTCAGTCAGAAAAAGGTAAACAATGTTGTTTAAAAAACTGTCACTGACTTTGAAAACCTTTCTTCACATCCCACATCATATCATAAAATTAAAAGTATAAGCTAACAAACAATGTAGATTAAATCATGTTTCTAGTTCTGGGGAAAACGGTTCATATTTAATCATATAATCTTTGATACTTCAAAGATAGATACGGTCAAAAAAAGGTAATCAAAATTGATGGGGGGATGCTTTCAATTTGTTTCATTCGTCCATATAGCAAATCTATATTCGGATCTCTTACGTTTCAATCTTAAAAGATATTTGATTCAAGCATCTTTTGTTTTTTTTTTGATGACGTTTGCCGGTGTTTAACTGTTGTATTTTCTGATAACCCTTTCTCGCGTCCTCCTGTAGAGAATATACTTCTTTAAGTCTTTAGATGCCAGTTTACTGGTTAAATGTGACGAGGAATCCATAATGTGGGGATTTTGATATAATTCCTCGAAAAGAGACAATAGTATAGAGCAACTAGAGACAATGGTTCTTGGGTTTTGAAATTGTTAAAGAAACAGACTAATGTATATGTTTCGGCATTTATGTTTCATAGTATAGCAGAACAGATACCAGACATAAAGAGGTAGAGTATAAACCCGTAATTGCATTATTCAGTAGCACTGATTTGGAGTAAATAAAAAATAATATATTCCGCTCACAAATTAGATTTTATATGAAACTATTGCAATACCTGGAGCGCTGTATGATTGTGAAATTTTGTTTTACTCAAACCCAATATACTTGTACTAGAGAGATACCATCGATTTTGTACTAACCATATACAGATTAGATATACAGAAGCTGACGTTGCGTATAAGCCTGTTATGTATTTTACCAACTGAAGCTTGCATTGATATTAAAGAAAACTAATTTTATTTTAGCATTTTTTGTAGACTGTCTGCAGTTTGTTTTGCAAAACAATTATTTATGCTCTGTCGTATTAGCTATCAGATTCCATGTTTGCATGTTAAAATAACTAGCGTTATTGAAGAAATGTATGACCGGATAAGTGTAATTTAAAGTACGTAATAGAATCGTACAATCTTCAAAGTCGATTTCCGATTAAAAATCTGAATAGAAAAGTATTGTTAAATTTCCAGTCCATTTCTTATATAAAAAATATTATGAAAGGTAGACCTTATTCCGTTTAGCCAATTTCAGGAGTTACTGCTTGTTGGCAGTATTACAACCCTAGGTCATAAACTTAGTAACGAAGCCAACAGAATTAGTAAAATCAATAAATAAATTATTTCTCTAAACTAAAAGTGAAAATTTAAGAGACTTTTACAATGTTGTGAAATAAATCAGAAGAATCCCTAAATGTCATTTCACAAGACCAAGAATATATAATATTCTGAATGAATACCAATAGTCTTGATTGACCTGATGCACCACAATGATACAATCCAGAATGTCTTTTAATAATTGAAAGAAATGATTCATCTCAAATTATATCTGAACACAGCTGCAATCTCAGATTATAGATACCACAAATAAGTCGAAACAGGAATGAATAATTGTTTACCTAGTACCTTATATATATATATATATATATATATATATATATATATATATATATATATATATATATATATATATATACACACCCACCGAACACACGACGCAATTGACTTCCAATGGAAAAACCCATTAACTTTTAAATAAGGTCAGATCATAAACTCAAATTCAAGCAAACATCTTTTTGCTTGTTTTAAACATGACAAACATCCAGAAAGGCAAAACTTACAACCCACAAATAAAGACAAAAACTAAGTACACAATATAGATATGCATAGAAGTTTCATTTCCTATCTATTATGGAATGTAGTGAAAAATCAATGAAAGTTTCCAATATTGTTGCAAAGCCTTTATCATCTCTAGACAATGTTGCGTGAACTCATTGTCAAACTGTCTGCACCTCAGACATTGATCATTGTCTATCAGAATGCAGTTTCTTTTACACAAGACAGCAATAAATGTTGTTGTGATATCATTTATAAATTGGAATGCATATCTATATACATATAGATTAAATGTCCAATATAGATTTGGTGCACAGTCCCTACGAAATAATGACCCATGATTTGTTAATTCGTTTCAGCAGTTAGACTCTGATCTAATACACTTAATGCGAACACCAATGGTACATGTAGAACGATTAGGACAAACTGGAAGGAATATAAAATTTCATGTTACATTTACAGGCATATACTAGCAGCAAAAATGGCAGATATCCTGGTAAACTTTCTTTTTTCTAACTATGGATACATGATGTATATTTGGGGCACATACATACGTAGGAGGCAAATATATATCTACCATGTAAATAATATTGCAACTGATGAAAGAGCGGTATGTAAGTTTTCAACTTCGATTACTTTGAAGAAAAGTATGAATGAATTAAACGTATACATACGAGGTGAGAGATTCTATGTAGTTTACTGTATGCTAAGTTGGCAATGTAATAAAATACTGATTAAGTAGTTGGGGAAAGCGAAGAGAGTTCGCAGGTGTTAGGCCTTCTTATCAGTGTACAGATCAAATTATTAAGATAACTGACACACTGGACAACATGTCACTCATAGTACATTACACATAATATTCAACTACAGACCCGAGAACAAAAGTTGATTATTTAGGGGCAATTCCGGTATATTAGTTATCGCAAAGGACCACCCTCCGGTCATGAGGCAATGATTGCTTACAACGTTCTGATGCTTTTACCATATCTGCGTGTCTAAATAACACGACAAGACATCTAATATCCTTCTTTTTGAATCGTATTATTTTGATGATTGATTGAGTGATTGATGGATCGATCGATTGATTGATGATTTTATATAGTATTAGAGTACAAGCATTATTATAAAGAATAAACCAAAAATAAATTAAAAATATCAGTAACAGTAGGTGAGAAACAACATAGATTTAAAAATAATTATAGACCGCTTCGCTGGCCTAGTGGTTAGAGCGTCCGCCTCGAACTCGAAAGGTCGTGGGTTTGATCCCCGGCCGAGTGATACCAAACACATAATAATGACACTAACAGTTGCCTAGCTTGGTGCTCAGCATTAATAGGTTAGTGCTAGGACTGGTCGGCCTGGTGTCAAGATAGATAAGGTGAGTGGGTGGGACATCATGATACATGTGTGGGTCATGATACCCCAGTGCTAGACATCAATATAAACTGCCACAGTGCAGGCATCGTAGCGATATTACTGAAAAATTGTTCATACATAAATAAATGCATAGCTGGTGAACATTCTAAAACCAAGAATTATTAACTTGGTATAATCAAGAAATTGTTAGTTTTCAACAATTTATGAACAAATTATAACAGTGGAATTTCAGTATTAGTGAACATAACTTTACCGGTCCACTTAAAGCGAATGGGAGAAATAACTTTAGACGAATAATTAAATGATTAGCAATATTTAACACACGCAAAATATTGTTTGTAATATTGATTACTATTAACAATATTCATGAATGTGCTGCTTATTCAAATTTAATCAGTTTGCAATACTGCTCATATGCTTTTCTCTGAGATTAATGCCATATAATGGTCTTACATATATTGTTTGGAACGTAAGGGACGTGATATCTGATGCGCTTATATAATTTATTTGGTCTATTTATACATAGAAATTATAGTCAAATGTGTACAAATGTGTACAACAGTCGACAAGCCATTCAAAGAAATTTCTGACTACTTTGCACTTTAAGCATACAAGATATGTTACAATGAAAATGGTGAGCATGACTTTCAAATTAAATGCCGAGAAGTGGAGTGCCAATAATCTTGGGCGAAATTATTTGGATACTCTGTAAAACAGCTAGACTGCTTTAACGGCTGAATTGTGGGGAATTGTGAGGAATAAACTAATAATGACCTCATAAATTCCAAATTTCGTCCTTGGCGCTTCCAGTCAATGAATGTCTTTATTTGTACTAAGAATGTATCGGTATTTTAGAGTCTCTGTTGGAATATTATGGTTTCGTTGATCAAGTAATACTTATGGGATGCATGAATATCAGATATAATGATCTTTTTACCATTTTTGGTGTTCACCGTACAGAAGCCATTTGATAGCAAACTTTATTGACAAAAATAAAAATCAGTGGCCCTAAAATAACAAACCCTAACAAGGACTGAGTTACATACATTTGAGCCTCTTGCACATTTCTTGACTGTTCTTTTGGCAAAAGTATGCTCTGATACAAAACTCAGGATACATGTTTGAAGTCAGATCACCATTTATTGATCACTTTTCTATAAAGTAGATGAAAGAGCTAGACGGTTTAGAAGCATATGGTTTGAAAATGAGAGGCACATGGGCTATATGTATGTCAGCTACAAACAATACAAGGACGCAAAGACAGAAGTTAGTAAAAGCTAGGTATCAATGCATACAAAGAGAGTGTGTTTAATGATTTATATGAAGCAGCAGAGGTGGATTTTGGACTTTTCTGGAATTTATATAAAAACAAAGCAATAGAGGAAGAAAAACGAAACGATTTATCAAACTCAGTTAATAGAGACACATCATGCAATCCACACGAGATAGCTAACGATTTGGCAATTGCTTTGAATTCATTCTTTAGCTCCACAATGAATAAAGAAACCGATTTTATTGATAATTTAACCTTTGTTGGAATAGCAGCATCCATTAAACAACTTAAGCTACGTAAACCGCCGGGAATAGATAGTGTACAGTACGAACATTTAACATATTCTTTGCAAGTGTGATAGAAACTATTACAGTTCTAGAAGTTATTACAGTTAAATTCAGTACAATAATGAACAACTGATATACATATGGACTGGAAAGTCAGTCTAATTGTATCCGACTTTAGAAAAAAATTTAAAAAAATTCCAACAGGGCTATATCTTTGCTAACTGTTTTGTACAATTTATTTGATATAATGTGTACATGATACAGTTAATACACAGTAAATGTTCCAAATATTTAAATCTAGGGTTTCGAAATGGACGGAGATGCAAAACTGCTATCTTTTAACTTAAAAAAAGTAATGTTTGCTAACCTGGAATTAGAATCAAAAGTATATGAAGTGACGCTTTATGGAACTAAGGATAGCATTTGATACCATATGAAAAGAGTGAATTGATATAAATCATGACATATTTGCTGGCAAACTCCTCACTGTAATTAGGAATCATGCTCTTACGTCATAACTATAAATGGCATGAAATCTGAGCCTGTACCAATCAGGCAAGGTGTTCGGCAGGCAGTATGGCTTACATTCCACGCTTTTCTACCTTGAAAATATTGAATGCTCAAGTTGCTAAAAGATTTAAATTTAGGATCAAATGTTGGAAACGTTTCTTCTGAAAACTATGCGTTAGCTGAATAAAAACCTTTATATTAACAACCCATTTTAATTTATAAGCAATACTTGATATCGTTCACTTACATTACGTAACCTAGAATTTTAAAACAAATGAGAGGAAGGTGTGTATCGTTATTTCCAAAACGAATAGGCAAGTAGAAAATCGGTCCAAATGCTATTCCGATTTCCCAAAACTACAAATCATGTTAATTATCCTTGTGAGCTTTGACAAAAGTCGCGTAGCAAATGTTCAAAAGCGAAATGGGAATGTAATATCAACCCCTTAACAATTGAAGGTCTAAAAAACTAAAATTGTTATTTTAACAGCTAGTAAAGTTATTTAAGACTGATAAATGTAGGTCTTATATTAGAAGTATTACAGCATTAATATGAGAAATTCATTCAAGGATTCTCACGTAAGTCCAATCTACAATGAGCGAAACATGCTTGGACTAAATGTAATTGTTGCTAAAACTGATAAAAAAACTTTAATTTCCTTTCTAAAGTATTGCAAATGCTCAAGAACAGGTTGTCTCAACGAGAACACATTGTTCAAAGAATATTGTACACCTTTCTTTGCGGTGCTTTACGGTTTCGGATTTATCAAAGGCTTAGAATTTTAAAGTAAAGGAATTTCCCCGAGTTTCCTAATTAGTTATACTGGCTATTTGAAAAAAGACATATACCATAGGTGTTGTTCAAACAACTTTTAATTCCTATTATTTTGGTGTATGATTGATGGGTGCAGTGTGGGTTGCAGTGTACACAGTTTGGCCTTACTCCAGATGTGCACGTTAAAAAAAATGTTAGTTAAACTAGCACATTTTCACTTCTCGAACTTCAGAGATAAGTTGTAAAACAAAATGGCTGATAAAGTTTTTTTTTACATTTCATATATTTGGTAATTCATTCATTGCACTTTCAGAAGCTGGTATTGTCTAGTCTGGCAAATTATTTCCCCCTATTTTGATAGCTACCTTACGGTATAGTACTAAGATCACTTACAACTTCCAAAAACACAATATCCAAAGAAATGTCAGCCACATTACATGAAAGTAGCATATTGGTATGCCAACGTTCTCTCCACTATGCATGTTTTAAATGCAAATAACTTCTCCTTACATACATCACACTCTCACTCTCTCAGACGTACAAAATTACTGGTGAGCATCACCATACCAAAGAACAATTTGTCGAATATTGTACACACCTTTTTATAGTACACACCTTTGTATGCGGGAATGCACGCATGAAACAAAATGGATTTATTGCCATGCCTTACTACCTTACTACCTTTCATCCTTTCATGTATCGAATGCATATAAAAAAGTATATATATATATATATATATATATATATATATATATATATATATATATATATATATATATATATATATATATATAATTTGACATTTCAGTAGGAACGTTTGATCGTTTAAAATATTTTTTTACATTTGTTCTAAAATTGTTGTGCTCCTTATAAATAATTTTGAGTCTCTTACGTCACACGAGGGAGTTTCATTTTCGGGTTTATTCAAACTAAGTCCAATAAACGCTTGTCCTTTTCACAACAGACACCTGCCATGCAGTGAAAAATTCTGCAATTTAGTCATTATTGTGCCGATATTTTTTCAGATATGTGTTTTCCTTAACAATGGCTAACTAACTTGTTTCTAATTGCGTATAAATTTAAATATGTTAGGTTGTAATTATTGACGCCGGATATTGGAGATCTTTCGAAATTTGGACCAATGAATAATTTATTCAATAACATTACCCTTTTAGCTTACAATCGCGAAGAGCTGTAGAGTGAACAAGATTTATTGAAATGGGAGAATTATTCATTAATGAGTGTTGATAATAAAGATTATTATTTACCGACGTCTAGACGAACTTAGAAAATTACTGCGCTTGTTAAACTATTAAAAAATTGTCAATAAAAAACCAGTTCAAGATAATGGGAAAATCCTGTAGGTAAACAGTGTTAAATGTAAAGTAAATGATCCAGCTCTTCGGGTTGATCGAAAGGAATCGGTTTGTGGCAATATATAATGAGTTAGCTATAGTTAAGTTCAAATACTTTTTAACAATATTTTGTCTTTCTCTATACATTTATTATATTTTTATAAGAATGTACCGGTCGTTACTATATACATTTCTTATGGCACATATAACAGATCTGTATACCTATACCTGCCAGAATCAAGATGGCAGAAAATGAAACTAGTGTTTACATAATCTTCCAGCAGTGCAGACTAGATGTGTTTTGGGAATTTAAGCAAAACCTCCTTGCGGCAAAGTGGCTGAAATTGGTTCAAAGAAACTAATCTTTTCGATATGATGCTCGAATGATTAACATCAGCTTGGACCATGAAAACTTATTTGTTTCTTCGTACGTGTCTTTAAAAATATTTGTTTAAATAATCGATTCAATGCGAACTTTAAAGATTTAACATATATGGAAATGACAGATTTGATGTCAATAATACGTTTCCTTTTCAAAGAACAGAGCTTATTCTATCCAGAAAGTGAATTTTGTTTGACGTTTGAAGAAAAAGACCAAAAATATAATCGAAGAACAATGACGCTTAGAACAAAATAACTTTAATAATATTTGATACATCTTAAAGTTACCTTCCTTGAAAACTGATACAAACATTTTTAATATAT